AGAGTGAGAGAGAGAGAGAGAGAGAGAGAGAGAGTGAGTGTGAGATCCAAAATGCTTCAGTGGACTCATCTGGTCTCCTCAGGAAGAGGATTTTGTGTGGTTTTTAGCTGATCAGACTGGAAGACTGTAGCGGATTGACTTCAACTTATAAATTATATAAAACATTTTTTTTTTAAAGTTCAAACGCTCAATGATTCAATTCAAACAATCAGTATTTCAATTCTAACCATTCAATGATTAAATTCTAATGGTTCAAACATTCAGTGATTCAATTCTAATGGTTCAAACTATCATCATTTCAATTCTATCAGCATTTCATTTCTAACAGTTCTTTGATGTCATACGCCGATCAGTCTGCACCATGCTGACGCATCTCGAACAAGCCCAGCGATTCAATTCAAACGATCAGTATTTCAACTCTAACAGTTCAAACATTCACTTATTCAATTCAAACAGTTCAAACGCTCACTGATTCAATTCAAACATTCAATGATTCAATTCAAACATTCAATTCTAACAGTTCAAACTCAGTATTTCAATTCTAACAGTTCAACATTCAATGATTCAGTTCAAATGATTCAAACTATCATTTCAATTCTAACATTTCAACATTCAATGATTCAATTCTAACAGTTCAAACGCTCACAGATTCAATTCAAACGCTCACCATTTCAATTCTAACAGTTCAACATTCAATGATTCAATTCAAACGCTCACCGATTCAATTCAAACAGTTCAAACGATCAGCATTTCAATTCTAACAGTTCAAATGCTCACAGATTCAATTCAAACATTCAATGATTCAATTCAAACAGTTCAAACTATCATCATTTCAATTCTAATAGTTCAACATTCAATGATTCGATTCAATTCAAACATTCAATGATTCAATTCAAACAATCATCATTTCAATTCTAACAGTTCAACATTCAATGCTAAACATTCAAATGCTCACTGATTCAATTCAAACATTCAATGATTCAATTCAAACAGTTCAAACGATCAGCATTTCAATTCTAACATTCAAATGCTCACAGATTCAATTCTAACAGTTCAACATTCAATGATTCAATTCAAACAGTTCAAACGCTCACTGATTCAATTCAAACAGTTCAAATGATCAGCATTTCAATTCTAACAGTTCAACATTCAATGATTCAATTCAAACGCTCACTGATTCAATTCAAACATTCAATGATTCAATTCAAAGTTCAAACGCTCACAGATTCAATTCAAACAGTTCAAACGATCAGCATTTCAATGCTAACAGTTCAAACGCTCACCGATTCAATTCAAACAATTCAAACGCTCACAGATTCAATTCTAACAGTTCAACATTCAATGATTCAATTCAAACGCTCACTGATTCAATTCAAACATTTAATGATTCAATTCAAACAGTTCAAACGCTCACAGATTCAATTCAAACAGTTCAAACGATCAGCATTTCAATTCTAACAGTTCAAACGCTCACAGATTCAATTCTAACAGTTCAACATTCAATGATTCAATTCAAACGCTCACTGATTCAATTCAAACATTC